AAATTATATTTTAGATTTTTATTTTTAAAATGAGAGATTTATATTGTATTTGATTATATCTATATTTAAAATAATATGTTTATCATGTATTTGATTATATTTATCTGTAGTTAGTAACACAAATTCAGAAATTAAATTTTGATAAGTTGTACTTTTGCATAATTTACTTGTAATCTTGAATTTTAAGTAATATATATTAATAAACAGTATTTCATATATAAAAAATGGCTTTTAAGAGTTCTATCAAATGTTTTATGATATAGTGTATATATACATACATATGTGTGGGGTTGGGTTTACGTGAGACCAAAGGTTTTTCGTGAGACCCGTAAGACCAATTTATGTTCATTGATCCACTTTATAAGCTAATGGTCTAAAGTTGACAATTTTGTAATTATTGACAAGTCTCATGACAATTTTGTGATTATGAATGTTCAAATTGTAAATCTAATCCAAAGGTTGAGAATTGGTCTTACGGATCTCACAAAAAACCCTTAATCTCACAAGATACCAATTCTATATATTTGTGTATTATAGTTTTTAAAGATAAAATAAATTTTACAAATCTAAACCCGTGTGGTAGTCGTCTTCTACCATCCCAAATTCACAGACAAAGTCAACATTTGAGTTGCCGCAAACTTCGTGGATACCTACCCCTCTCTCTCTCTCTCTTTAATATATATATATATATATATATATATATATATATATCAGAGTCCAGTTTCAGTATAAGTATTCAACATCTCTTCCTTTTGAGAAAACTCCACAATCTTCCCTGATCTCCACAAGTCTCTCTTTCTCTAATGGCTCGAACATCTCTTGCTCTCTTCATGCTCCTGCTTCTATTCACTTCTTCTACAAACGGCCGGAAACTGTTAAACAACCCGGATTCCGGCAGCAAAAACGAAGCATCACCGGTGGAATTCATGAGTTTATATCTAACTTCCCTTCCAAAGGGCACCGTACCGGCCTCTGCTCCCAGCAAAAAGGGTCATGCTTCAACCACCGACGAAAAACTCATCACCCGCCACCTCATCACCGTCGACCGGATCCTCCGCTCTGTCCCCAGCCCCGGCGTCGGCCACTGATCACTTCTCATTTTCCTTCTACATTTTTTTATTATACATACGATTAGTTTTGTGGGTTTATTGTTATTTAATTCTTTCTTTCTCTCCATCAGTATCAGAATAGAATCATAGAGAGACCATAGGTGTATATATATATATACACACACATATATATATATATATATATATATATATATCTCGGAAATTATGTATGAAATGGTTTTTCTATTCATACATGAATTCTTGTAATTTATTAGACGATATTATACGAATATAGCATCGAAGCTCGTTAGCAATTTCGGAGTGTTTTGCTTCAAGATTGAAAATGTAATAAATTGGTTGTTATTCAAATCAAGAAATCGATTCATCTCATGTTATCGTATGTTTATATTCTGATTATTTATTTAAATTATTATTATTATTAATATTGTTATTCCCAGAAATTCTTGAAAATTATATATATA